ATATATATATATATATATCTATTTATATAATATATTATCTTCTATAAATGTATCTATTTAGAATCTAGTCTTATATAGTCTACTATTTTAGTAAATCTAGTTCCTACTAGCGGGTTAGTAAATATATTAGCTATTTATTCCTTAGTATTAAGGTACGCTAGTTTTATTAACCTGTTTTATATATTTTCTTTTATAAAGTAATATTATATATCTATATTATTATTATTATTATTAAGTTCTATTATGCTGATTTAGTTCCCGTAGGGGTCCATGCGGCAGTTCTATCTAAGCTAAGTATATAAGGAGAAACCGTTCGTGCTAGGCAGCGTTTGGATGAAAACCTTGCTTTCTGCGGTGTGTAGCGCCGTGCGCTCTTCATGCTAATGTATAACTGTTGGGGACGCGTGGCAGCTCTGTTAAGCCGGCCACGGAATAAGCCATTGCGGTGCGTTGTTGTAAATCCATCCGGGGTCTAAGGTTGGGTCGTCCTCCTAGGTTCGGGTCGATTTTATTGGATTCCGGAGATGTAAGCTGGTTTATAATTAGCGTAAGAGCACGCGTACACGCGTGCCACGCGCCGAAACGGCATAGAGGCCGTACGCCACGCGCTCGGCCACGCCCTTATATCCGGTGGCCCGTCTCCCGTCTTCCTGTTCCTTATACAACGTCTTAATTCTCCACGTAGCATTATATATAGCACCTAATTAACGCTCCTCTTTAAGCCCTCGACCTTTTACGTGTAGCGCTATTATAATAGGTAATAAGGTTTAGTAAATAGTACTTTACTAACTACTAGTTAATATTAAGGTTTTTATTAATATATATATATATTTTTATATATAGGCTTCCTTTATATAAAGTATTATATACTTTTATTACTATATATTTTTTTATAGCTTTTATATTACTAGTACTAGTAGTTAAGGCTAGGCTTTCTCCGCTTTTTCTAGGAACTTTTTTTAGGTTTTACAGCTTTTATTAATATTATACTATATAATAGTAAGTATACTAGGTTATTTTAATATTAAACTATATCTATAGTATCTATAGTATTCGCTGCACCTATTTCGGCGCGTAGTTGCTAGCTTATATTATTTTCCTATAAAAATAGTATTTAGGTAATAGTTTTAAGTTATAAAAGTCTATCTATATTTCTATATATTATTAATTAAGTTAACTAGGTTAGAGGCTGTAAAAATAGTAATATAAAGTAAAAAGTATATAGTATCTAAAAAGGCGTTAAATAGGAAGATTACTACGTTAAATAAGCAGTTTATATTATTCCGTTAATTTTCGGCTAGCTTAGGTTTTTATTAGAATACTTAAATATTTTTAGTTATCCTACTTTTTTTAGTACTATTAGCGCTGGCCTTAGTTCTATACTGCCTTTATATATATTATTATTAGCAGCTTTTTTTTCCCTAAACTAGGTTAAGGTTATATATACCCCTAGCAGGGCCTAAAGCGTATATAAGCTCGGCCCTTTATTAGTGTTATATTAGTATAGCATCGCCTACCTTTTTAATATAGCCTATAGCTAGGCCCCTTTTTTTATACTATATTTAGCACTATATACTAGGTAGTTTTTTTTATAGTTAGTATACTTTTTAGTATTTATTACTATATATTATTTTATATTATATTCCCTTACGTATACTATATATTAAATATCCTTTTTATAGTATTTTATAATATACCTATAGCTCTAGTATCTAAAGTACTATATAGCTATAAAGCCTACTTTATATTTTAAGGCTATTAGTAATTATCTACTTATTATAAATCCTTTTATAATAGCTTTATCTGCTATTACTTCTATACGCACGCTAGTAATAATTAAGCTAGCGTGTCGGCCTAGGTTTTTTTATACAGCCTTAATACCCTTTTTATTCTTCTATATTATTTTTTTAATAACTAGGCCTAGGTTAATTATCGCGTTAGCTCTAATAATATTATTTTTAAGTATTTAGCTTTCTAGGTTTAAGTTTTTAGGTACTTTATATACCTCTATTAGCACTGCAGGCAGTTATATATATACTGTTTTACCTAGCACCTGCACCTATTCCCTTTTCTTAAGCAGTGCTTTTTTTATAGCCTTATCCGTAATATATACCTTAATATCTCCACTCTATAGCTTTTTTATACCGCTAATCTTTATTATATCCGGTGGTCCGGCTGCTTAAAGCTTTTAGATAATAGTTATATTTATATCTACTATAGTTATAGTTCGCTTATTATTATTCTTAATATAAATAGTAATTTTATAGATATTTATAGGTTGCCCTATATACTACCTATTTCCTGCTACCTTCCTATATTGCGCAGCTATACCGCTTAGTATAGCTAATAGTATTATACCTGCTACTGCTACTGCTACTACTACTACTGCAGTATACGTTTTCCTATACGTTAATAATACGTGTACCTTCTTTTTTATATCCTCTATTATTTTTATTAGCTTTTTCTATAGTATCTGCTATAGGTTATTCGCAGTATTTAAAAGGCCGAATAGAACGCGTTCTGTAAAGTTATAGAGGGTTTAGATAATTGCATTTATTTTAAAGAATTAGATTAGCTTATTCCGTAAGAGGTCTTATATACTATATATTTTATTAATAAGGTTTTAGACGTTTTAGTAGACGTTTTTAATAGGCTTCGG